AAACAGAATTGTTATTATTGTAAAGGATTGGCTCGTGGTAGGTTAACACGTTGTTAAGTAAACCCAGCTAGGTCAGTCTAAAGATGGTTGACCATTTCTTAACACATTGAGACCCTTCCGTACCTCAGAGAGCACGTTAAGCCTTAGGGGTAGTTAAAACCTTAAAAGTCCGACATCAGGCTTTCTACAGAACCTCGATATCGCCCAGTATTTGGGTTGTGGAGGTCTGATGGCAGTCGCTTCGAAGTTCCGCGGTATCGTAGTAGACTTAACGCCGACCCGAACCTAGTTGGAGAAAAATATAATAAAAAACACGCTTTCTAGTTTTTTAAAACTATTTGTTTTTTTTTAATTAGTGTATTGTCATCGGTCCTCGATATGTCTACAAAGTTTGAAAGAATTCTGAACGTTTAAAGTCAGTCAAAATCACGCGCAAAGGAGTCGGTTACAAACATACAAGTGAAGCTAATATAAAGCGTGTAAAAAGGCTTGGAAGACGCACTCTCCGTGCTTTGCGTTGAAATTTTTATGGAGTCATTTAATCGGTCGATAAACCAATGGAGTTATTATTAGAGTGACTGTTTGTTGACTGAATGAGTCAGTGTTCTCATTAACTTACTGGCAAATTCTTAAAATTATTAGCTTGTTACAGGGTTAAAAAAAACATAATTTAACAAATAGTTTTATTATAAAATTAGCATCTCTGATGCAAATATTTCTAATTTAACACTCTTATTATAAAGATTTGTATGAATACTCATAGCATTCCATGCCAGCAATCCTTAAAAATACTACTGAACAGTGGGTGGAGAACTACAGAATCTGCACTAGTAACTTTCTGCAACACAGACTAAATTTAGTCCAGAACTTTCAAGAATAGAATAAAATAGAGTAGAATAGAATAGAATAATCTTTATTGTACACCAATTCAGGATATTATACATACAATAGTATTCAAAGTTAATGACCCTGTACAAATGGCGGCCTTATCGCTAAAAAGCAATAAGCTAGAGAGCTTTATAACGAAGAAATATTAAACAGTCTACTATTGATAACTTCCTAAGCAGAGTTAAAGTATGTCAGAAAAGAAACTATACTCTTTTATTCATCAATTAATTGAAGTCGAACGAACTATCTGATACCTTAAACATTCCCTGTGTACTGGAGAGTCTTACTACATTATGTTCCTATCCAATAATATGCAGAGTTAATGGATAAGTGGACCTAGATACTTTAAGGGATTGTAGTTGCCATCATTTCTGATAGGTTTCACTATGAAAAACCATATCCCAAACCTAACCATTTTCAAGATATTTAACTTTTAAGATTTTTATAAAAATCGCCCACATTTTTCCTAATACTTCGGCCCAGTTTGTTAAGTTAACTACAAGTTTGGTAATAAACATTCTTAAAAATATATATTAACTACACAAAAATGTATTAGGTAAAATTTTGGTAATTTAAATTTAATTGGTAAATTTGTAAATAGTGAGGTTAGGAAAATCTATCATAAGTGATGGTAACTACAACCCCTTTAAGTATCTAGGTCGACTTACCCAGGAACCCTGTACACGTATGCTATAGGCTATGAGTGCTACGACTATAGTTTATCCCTTCAATATCTAAGAAAACCCGGTTTATTAGCTCAAGTAAAACAGTTTCAGTTCAGGGGTACAAAACATTTTGCCTTTTAGAGTACTGAGTCAATACTTGGGGTGTTTGTCACCGAGATTGTTCCATTGTGCACGCTCCCCGCCAAGTCAGAGGTACTCAATTGTCCCGGCTCCAATCTTTATTTAGGACTCGTTAATTTAAACTGAGATACTTTACCAATATTATTATTTTAGACTCTTTCTAACAGTTATTTTTCCCAATAAAAGAGAATGAAGCTAGAAAAAGAAACAAGCTTTACAGTAGTTTCTTATGATGTAAATAATATGACATTTCATCTAGTACCGCGTGTTTTCATTGGTCAACTCAAATAACGGCATTCTTCGGCATCGTGTTACACATTTCCGTTTCTTTTTACGAAACATCATCATATCAACAGCATTTAATAGTCCACTACTCGACATAGGCCTCACCTTGGAAAGGGAGTTTTGGCCTACTATGCCACGCAGCCAGACGGGTTTGACAAACCACAACCTGTCTATGGTTATAGCATAAGAGGAAAGGCAAAGTACCCATTTATTTACTAGGTTGGTACCCAACTTTAAGATAATTCGCCTTCATACAAGAATTATTCGGCAACAAATGAGAACGGCACAGAAATTAACATTCCAAGGATAATGTATAACCGCGGGAGATCCAAGCTTCAGCTTAAATGAACCGGCTCGATCGGAGTAATACCAGGGCCTTAGAGAAAACCGGTGTTAAGCAATCTCAAAGAGAGCCCAACCCCCCCCCTTGATTATTAGGAGACTCTTGTTACTCTCTCACTTAGATGACCCGTCTCCTCTTTTCATCCTATAGCATAAAAGTAGTAATGTCCGAAGTTTGGTCATGGCGCACATAAATTATATAATTCAATAATTCTGCCTACACAGGTATTACGATACATGTTTACTTTATGACAACATACATGATCTTATATCACTCTTAAGATGACATCGTTGTTTTTATCATTAGTTATTAGAACAATCAACTCTTTGTTAGCGCTGATCTATTGATGATTTAATTATTACATACTTACATCCATATACTCACTTCAATATTCTTGAAGGAGCATACAGAGCCGTAGTAAACATCCAACATATAGATGACTATAATTTTAGTCTCAGTTACGTAAATAGGGCCTATAGCACCAGGGATTTCTTTTCTAAATTACACCTGGTTTACCGGCTACTGGTACCTGAAACAGCATGCGGTTTTAGTCTTTTAGTCAACCATCGGCGGAAATCCTGCACGAATAAAAGAGGCAAGACTATTGCATATGAATATGAATCGAGCAGTTTAGGAGTTAAATAGGAAAATTGGGAGTATAATGATAGGAAAGAGATCATCATCATCATCAACAGCCCTTAATATTCCTCTGCTGGACATAGATCTCTCCTTAGAACGGAGGTTTTGGTTTACTTTACCACTCTGGCCAGACGGTTTGGTATAGGGTTTAGTTTAAGTTTTCCTTCTCTTTGTAGTGCTTTTGTCCTGCGTAGATTGCTCCCTTAGTCGGCGATTACGTCACCCACGGGATGAACAGGGGTGGTGACACTCCGTATTCTTAATCTGTCACCACACGGACTTACCGAGAGAGTTAATTTATCTAGATCACATAAATATTTGTAGCACGTAAGTAGCCACAAACCAGTCCAGGGTAGGAAAGGGATGTTAAGGGATAAGGAGTTATCGCTTATATGGGTATATACAGATAGACAGACAGACAGATTGGTGAGTATAAGTAATAGCTCGAACAGGATATGGTCACATTATTGACCCTTGAACTGAGGGCCAGGTGTGAGTTTATTTCACATCAGCTCGACAAACGGTGACCGCGTTACAATTAGCCAGCACTTGTAACAGTTATTTTTTATTATATTTGTATTGCATACGGAGTTGTAAAAAGCGACATCTATTGCCCCCCGTCGCATTTGTTGATTTATCTAAAGTAGTTTGTAACTATAGTATTGTTGTTCTTCGTCCGCCATCGGACCACTAGATGGCGTTTGTTTTATAGATAAGTCATTTTATTAATTTATCATGATAAATTGTATTGGTGTTATAAGTGACCTGTTATGGTAGGAAGCGAGTTACTTTTGATTTAGTTCGTGTACTCTGCATCAATTGCAACGCTGAACGCGAACGGCGTCAAGAGTGAGTTGATGTGAAATAAACACACACTAGGTCCTTTGACTGTTATTGAAATGTCTTCAATTTTTTTACAGTTTTACATATCTGCCTCTATACCATTTTTTTAAACTATATTAGCCAGGGAACTTAGGTTTGGGTATTGCGAGTACTAGAAAACTTATTTAATGAAAACATGTCTTCATTGTACTGCGATGTATGGCGACAACAATAATGTTTGGATGTACTACACACTGCTTCGTTTTACAGTTATCGAGACGTGGTTACTGGCTATTCCACTACAGTGTTTGAACAAAACAAAGTCAGATGTAAACGTTCTATACACACCACATTGTAAGTTTGAAGATAGGACGCTATTTAGAATATTTATCGTATACTGGTTTCAAGATACGCCATTTAATCAGTATTTTTTTTTGTTTTGTACTAATATTGGTTTAAATACCAGCTTTCAGTATCCTACGAATTTTGATGATTATCAGAGTGAGTCAGAAACGAAATCGGGGTTTTTAAATATCAATAAAATCAAAATAATACGAGATACGCATTTTAACACTAAGTAAACTAATAAAGTACTACTAAGTACTAACTAAACTAATTCCGAAAATTTTGTTTAACTGATATAATCAAAACCCAAGTTATGAGGGTTCAAAAAACGACGACGCGTTTTGAGAAAAGGTAGGTAGTGCCCTTGGCTCGTCCTGACTGGGACACTGAAGTTCCAATGATTCATTAGTAAAATACCTTAAACACTTTATGCACTACCGTCTGCTCCTAAGCTGGGCAGAGTCTGTAAACTGACTGTGAATTAACAATTTGATATATTTCGCTTGGTGTCAAACTATTAATTATCTGTTAGTGCATCTAACTTTCGAAACTTAGCAAAAGTTAGTCCCGATGTTTAGTCAGAGTTAAAACTGCTGAAATGATTTTGAGGGATTTTGTATGTTTTATGGAACTCTAACGGGTTTTAAAAAAAAAGTCCTGATTCTGGATGATTTTAAATCTGGCTAACTACGAATTTTTTTTTTGTATTCGTTATTTTTTTCCATCATCAAAATATTATTTACCGATTATCCGGAACCAAAGATAACGTTCCAGTAGGATAAAGTCTATATGTTTAATAATAATATAGATAAAGTTTAACAATTAAATATTTATTATTCAATAATAATTGTTGCAGTACAACATACAATAATTCAATTTCTGCCGCCATACATATTGTTACAATTGTTACATTTTTTACCACAACCGCAAGTCAAGCTCCGGACGGGCCCGCCTCTCTTGTAAGGCGTGTTTCCTATAATATTACCCCTGAAAGCAGAACACGTGAATGTTATTACACTTTTTTTTTATGTTAGAGGGGGCAGACGAGCGGACACCTGATGGAAAGTGACCATCGCCGCCCATGAACGTCAGCAACTCAGGAGTCACAAACGCGTTGACCCGTTAACACTTTAGGTAGAATTTATAAAATAAATTGAGAAAACCTTATAATACCTATACGAACGTGTTTATTGCTAATAATGACTATATTTTAGACCCTAAGGAACAGGAAGGCTCCACATATGAACATAGAAATATCCCGATCAATACAAATATCCACCAGTTTTTTTTTTTCACTCAGAAACAGAAGAAATTTAACTCATTACAGAATTATTTATCCAGGGTGGGAATGAAACCCACGATCTCTCGCTTAGCACTAGATCATCGAGCCTATCAAAGGACGAAACAATTAATTACTAGTAGATTTAATGAATTAATAAAAAAGTTTACTTACGAAGGCCCATAATTACAAACAGCATAGACAACCTTCTGATTTCCTTCGTATGTTTCTGATATACCACAGCCGATGTAAACACTTGCCGACCACACCAACTAAAGACATAGCATTAAATAATTGTTGCATTTTGTTTCATTTATATTTAAGAAATTAAAACAATCAAATCGGCTTTCGAAACACTAAATACATATTTGAGTACAAGCTGCCCCGACTAACTTTGTTCCGTCAAAAGTTATTTGCCTGTCACAGTCTAATAGAAAAAACTAAATAGAACGTATTTCAGAGTGTCACTTTTCTTACAACTTTTTTTGGCCAAGCATAGAGCAATATCCATACAGCTTAATCAACTTGAAGTATTTTAAAAGAAAAGTATTATTTTAAGTAACAACGTAAAAAAAACGTAAAAATTGTAAAGGATAATAGTAAAAACTTTTTACTATTATCCTTTACAATTTTTACGTTTTTTTTCTCTCCAAAAGTATCTACCTTTCTTATGCCTTTAAGAAAACATGAAAAAAAACAAATGGCCCGCCATTCTCGAGTTTTGCGCATAGCAACACATTTGGTGATTCATTTTTATTTACATCAGGCGATACAATCTTAGTGGACAATCCTTGGAATGTTACGAATATAATGAAACGTAATACAATGGTTTTTTATTTGTTCTAAAATTTTAACAACATTACGTACACTTCATTTAGGCGTATAATACGTGTGTACGTCATGTAATTTCGCCAGTCGATACGTATAGATATCGTTACTTTCGGTATAATCCGCATAAAACATAAAGTGAGTTGTTTTAGTTTTTATTATCCCGGAACGTATATCACTATTTTCTGGAATCATTATAAAATGACTTTTGGAAATAAAATGTTGCCATTATTTTTTTTATACGTTGAGTTGGTAGTTATTTTGTATGATAAAATTGATAAATGTAGACTTATATTAAAATTTTTGAAAACTTTAAAAATTTTTTAGCACTTTAAAACACACGATTCTAAGAAGTCCTAACTTAGTGCCTGTATCATTTCATTATTGCCATTGTTTTGGTACTTTTCATCAGCGTTAATGCAGCAACATTTGCAACAGCGATTGAGATATACCTCTATTTCAGTATATTACAATGTACTCTGTGATTTACATAGATTAAATAAAATTGACAGTCAGAAAAGTGGAAGTAAGAAAAGGGAAACTTGAATTGCTTTAAATCTATAAAATAGAGAGAACTAATAAATGAACACATCTTCGCAAACACGGAGCCTGTTCCTAAGTACTCTACAGAGTATGAGTTCAAGAAACACTCAACCTTGTGACAGAATTATCAAAAATTCATTTTATTTGCGTGTTTCTCTTTAAAATCATTATTTGTGAACATACCTGTGTGTAGTGACCAATTGCAGGTTTGGATTTGTCAAAATCGCTGTCACGAAGCGGCCCGTAGGTATAGTTTACATGTTCGCTGTACCATGATTCTATTGCTGTGTTTGGAGTTAGTTTGTAATTACGATCGCTCGTCCATTTCCTGTACAAACTCTCGCCCGTTGTAAATCTACCTGATGCTGGAAACATAATAAAAAATAGAATACTATTGACTATACTCGTGACTTTTTTGTAGAGATAATATTATTTTTAACCTAGACTGCCATTCTCAATGGTAACAATTTGAAAATGTAAGAAATGATTATATTTTTATTTATTTTATTTTTATAAAGGTAATTCTCATTCCTGTAATTTACAACTGCTGATATAAGATAGGGCCTTTATCGATGCTTTCACAAAATTTGACAAACTTTAGGTACCTAGAAAATATGTTAGGTGAGTGATTCAGAAATGATGTTAAAGAACCTGTAAACTGTAACCGTTGTGATGTTTGAGTAACGTAAAAAAATGAAATGCTAAACTATTTTTTCTGCCTTGGAACTTTATGAGCAACCAACAAAACAACCCTTTAGCTTTATTTAAATGTGGTGGATTAACATATAATTGTGTACAAACTAGAATAACAACAGAAATACTTACGGACAGTTTTATCCGGGTTATGTCTCCCCTTTGGGTGAGTTTGAGCATAGGCCTGTGCTTTCACATACAATTCGTTGTCCCAGATCTATAAAGAGAAATATTACAGCCTTGTGGCGACTTCCACGTACATTCAATGAAACATACAACAGCGCCATCTAACGAAGACACATTGAACTACGGAGTAACTGCTAATCCTGTATCGCTATATGAACAATTCTCAAGCCGACATCAAACCTTGGGCCGTGGCCCGTCATGCACGATCACCTCGCCCGGTTGGAGGATCCTCTCTTTGTATTGCAGGGACATAAAACCCGTTCCCCCACAGCTAATAAGATACGTTGTTTGAAAAAGTAATTTTTAGGCACTTAACGGACTTTATCTCTCTATCTTTAATAAACAATATAACCGACTCGAATCCTCCTACATCATTATGGATTTTAATAAAATGTATTCTTCATTACGTAATTTTTATACAGGGGTGGTTTTTTTTTTTAAATTTGTACGGTAGCAAAAATAATTTTCCAATCCGTTCATAAACAACAGAATTTAGCGGTAACGAATATAAAAGAAACAGTCGAAAATAAGTACAACTGTGAAATAATACGCCAATTGACGCGTGACGTCACGTGGCTGAACGAGTCAGAGTCGGAGTCTTATTTTCGTCTTATATAGTCTCATTTTCGTCGGGCTTTGGTTTCATTTTTATTAAAGTGTTATGTTATATTGTAGGGGGGAAACCAAAAAAATTACGTTGAGTCTTAATATATAAAAGCACTACACTCCGTTTATATAATATACTAACTACTTATGAAACATATTACATTGTTGTCACTATAATAACAAATAAAATGTTTGACATCATCTACAGGTACGTGTCACTAAGTCATAGGCCTTAACAAACATGCATTGTTTTGTCCACTAACATTTCAGAACTCACAACTTTATAGAATTAATACTACCCAACTCATCAAAAACTTTTCACAATTACCTTACTAACTACACTAATTAGGTATTGTTGTTTAGTATTGTATTTGGGTCTGAGGATCTAATATGAGACTATTTTCTGAAGCACGGCGAGTAATCCTCAGCAACAATTAAGGTTTTTTATGGTATACAGGTTGTTAAGTATTAGTTGAAAAGTACCATACATAGTTATTATAAGTAAAATTGTATAGACGCGTGGTTGGATACGTGGCACATTGACGTGTCATGTCATTTCTGTCAGAAATGAAAGATTGACACATTGAAAAATGTTGCCTTTATCAAACTTTTAGGTTTTTGTGTATGTTGTTTTTAATTTTTGTTTTATATTTGTATGCTGTGCTTTATGAAATAAATGTTATTCTATCCTATTCTATTCTATTGTATTTTTCTCTGTAAGTGATAAATTGTACTATTTTGAAAAAATAAATGTCGATAACCGCGATTTAAACCATTGATTCATGAGGTACATTTTTAAAAACGTTTTCCACAAAAATGCCTAATACATAACGTAGGCACTCAATTGAGGATCTATTTAAATATCTGTAGAAATATTATTTCACAATTTTAAGTTACTTTTTCTTATCGCTGTAAGCGTTTTTAATATTATTTTTAAATTAATTAATCTCACTTCACATCAACAGCCTTTAATAGATCACTGCTGAACATAGGTATCTCCTTAGATGGATGGTTTTGACCTACTATCTCACTTAATTATTATAAACTGTTTAAACTTCAAGAATATTTATGATGAATGCATTACCACGGCGTTCATTTCAGAAGCACTTGGCTGTCCGCGGACTTCTCCTTTAGCCACCTGCAGCCGCCGGTTGTTGTGACCATCAACCCACCCATGAATCTCTTGGGTAGTAGCTGACTGTGCCCCTAAAGGGAATATGGGAATATTATTACAATAAAAGCTAGAAGCATAAACCTTTTTAATTATTTATTTATGTAGCTATTTGAGAATTTGGTGCCGAACAAGAGAAGCCAAAGCTAAGTTATAAATTTGGGCCCATTCAGAATGTATGCTTGTTTACCTCAATAGCCAATATTTTGTATTCCTAGTTATTTACGTTGACAATAAATTAGAATAAACATAATGAACGAATTAATATTACTTAGTACTACTAGTAGCCTTGTACAAAAAAATTAAGAACTAAAACTTTTTTATGTAAAAAAAACGGTTTTAATATTAAAAAAGTATTAATTTACAAACTATGCACTAGTTTGTGAGTGTATATAGATCTAAACATAATTCATGAAAAAAAGGCTTAATCTCAAAATAATGTATTTCTCGTTAAAAGCTAAAAAACCGGGTTGGGTAACCTTCAATAGTATTATATCTTAAGTATTATGGCAATTATAATCCTAATACAATAACAATTAATACAAGACAAAAAGAATTAAAGTAAAGATTATACACATGTACTAATTGAAGTGACGTGTCCTGGATGGGAATCGAACCCACGATCATTGGCTTAGCAGCCAGGATCGCTCACTCGCCCAATGTGCTAGTGACATATATATAAAAAGAATAAAAAAATGCACTTACATTTGCGTGTTGCGAACACGAGAAAAGTTATAAAAAGATAAAATGTGTTCATTTTCCTGCGACGTTGCTGACAATTCAACGCTTTTGACTGTTACACTTTGCGATCTGGTTTATATACTACAATGTTTGTAGGTACAAATAGTAAATAAAGTAGTAACAATATAGAGTTGGGTTTCGTACCTTTTAACTGATAAAACTTAAAAGAAATACTAGCCTACAAATATTATTATAACCTTACACATCTCTGATCCCAAATTAGGCAGAGCCTATGCTATGGTAACCAGACCGCTGATAAACATTAGTAAATACCTTTATACAAACATTTATTTAAAATATTTCTAAATACATACATATTATAATAGATAAATTACACCCTGGCACAAAACAAGGACAACAACACAAAGCAAAGAGAAGGAAAACTTGATACAATCCCTATACCAAAACGTCTGGCCAGCGTGGTATATTAGGCCAAAACCTACTTTCTAAGGACAGGCCTATGTCCAGCAGTGGACTAGTAAGGTCGTTGATGATTTGACAATTGTTTATACGGCCAAAAAAACGCCCCAATAACTAATTCTTTTAAGTGGAACCCCGACATTTAGTGCTTATCTACGTGTTCAACGATTGATTAAACACCGGTAATGAAATAGTCGTTTTTTTTAGGTTATAAAGTAATTTGTAAAAAGGTAATGAATTAAATGACACGAACGTGTGATAGAGATAGTTGAATAAGCAAATTACAAAACATTATAGGTACCTATTTCATATTCATAGGAAAAAGATACTATATGCGAGACCCATATTAAATTTCTTTTAAAATCGGTAGAATTAAATTTACAGTATAGTAATAAAAAAACCAGTAGTTTAAGAGAATATACCTTTATACATGATTCTATGTAAATAGTAATTAAAAATTAATTCAGTTACAGTGTTTTCATTTATTTTATTTTGGTCTAAAAATTAATACTCTCTCTTGAGTAATTAAGTGGTGAAAATAATATAGGCAACAAATTGACGAAAAATAAATAGTGGTAAAGTTTCTAAGGATTATCTCCTTTGGCACCAATTTATTCAGCACATACGGTTTTAGCACCTAAGCTATTCCACTAACAGGAATAATAGGTATTTTAGCTTTTAACAAAAAATAAAATAAATTGTGATCTTCATTCAGCACCTACAGCAGTTTCTAGTGATGGGATGTATATATTTGCGCAGTCTTTAAATTTAACTTGTCGATTAATACTTATTAAACATTATGCATCCCATCTCCACGTAATATCTATTGGTGCTGTAAGTGAAATAGCTTAGGTGCTTAAAAAATTGTTGACGAATAATTTGAGGTGTTGAGGAATACTTCATTCCGCTTAGTAACGCAGTTCTTGTAATCATCTACACACACTTTACACATTACTCAACCATCAACAAGACTATGTAGAATTCGGTCAAGGTAGCTTTTTCTAGATAGGTGAAATGGATCAATATTTGAGAAACGTAAATAATAATTGATATGATATGATATCATTAATGATTATAAATTGAATAATTTAGTATTTCAAGTACGCTTTTTGGGGATATTGACATTAATTTTGGAAAGTAAATGTAAACAATCTAAGTTACCACGCAATATATCGTATAATAAAGATATGTCCAACATTGTTCGTCTGTGTTCGTAAAAACATACAAACATTTGATCCGACCCGGGTATCGATCCCGAGACCTCAGCACAGCAGTCGCATACGCTGCCATTGGATGACATTTGTCTGAAAACTTTTGTAACTCTATCAGGATGAAATTTCACATGACAAATGTCCAGTTATGGATGTACAGAAAGGCGTGATAGAATAATCTGAGAGAGTAGAACTCAAAGCAGAGCTGTTTAAGTAGGTTTATGTAGTTGTTTTAGTTTCAGTTTTTTTTAGGTTTCCTATGATTAAGCAAAACTCGAAAAGGTCTGATTCTACCACTGAAATTAATCTAAAAGGTCAATTCACTAACTATACGTAATTGAAAGCATAGTGACAACAAGGGCTATAAACATGAAACCTATTTCGATGTAAAATGTTAAGCTTCCATTTCTAAATTCCTACCTCTTTAATTTATATGCAAAGTAAAAACTTATTTTTCCTGATACAGAGACATAGACAATGCCAATTATAATACTTATCTAGTGGTACATGTTCTTTAATTACCTAGTGTTTAGTTTAGTACATCAAAGTAGCAGTTATAACTAAGGTGTGGGAGTTTACGAATAAATTGTATTAATTGAGTATTAGTATTTATTTATAAGGATCTCCTATGAAAGTTAGTTTAGTAGTTTACCTTAGTTGATCAATCTCTATAAGTCACTGCAGAGTTCTACAGTCCATGTCCTAGCTCAATGATCAGATCCAGAATTCGGAGTCCCTAAAAGAATCCACAACATTGGCAGTGAAGAATTTTCCTTTGAAGAGAGTGCATGTTTCTATTGATAACTGGCCTCAATGTTTAAAAAATTAAAGCTAATGAAGATATTTTTTTAATGAACTTAAAATATTTTTAATGCTGCTACAATTAACATTTATATTGATCATTGCTTACGTTTTGTTTATATTGACACCACGTATTGTGAAGTTAAATGTTGGTGTTTATTTTCTACTCTGTTTCTATTATTTATTTATTAACTAAATACATTTCAATTTGTTTCTACATTTACTTAGATAACATATGAGGTGCGGCTGTCATAGCTACCTACACGTTAAACGCCGTTGAACGCCAATAGGCGGGTCCACAGTAGTCCACACAGAATTTGTCGCCTTTTATTTTTACGTGTGGAAACCCCCTCGAGCCGTCACCTCACAGGGGTTTGCAGCGGGGTGGTGTGTCGGAATCGGACCGACTAAAACCACACGGTGTGCCACTCTGCGCTTATAATAGAAGGGATCCGGGAACTGCTGTTATTAAGACATCTGGACCCCTCCTAGCACCTGCCCGCAACGGCGCGGGCACCACCTTCGGGTACATTCTCTATTTAGACGACGTCCGGCACACGCGGACGTAGCCTCCTCGCGGCTGGCCGTTATGGCGGGTGGAGGGGAAAACCCGTCCCGTCCACCCGCGGCCACACTCAGGGCGGCATGAGGCGGTGGTAAGCGCGCCTCCGCCGGCGATGGATAAGGTCTGAGTGGAACTTGTCCTCCCGAGCCCTCTCCGCCGCCTCCTTCTGCAAGATGACGTCTTCGCAGGAGGATGCGACCGCGGTGAAACATCGGCCCTGGAGCGTATGACGGCCGGTAGCGAGAGATCCCCCCCGATGACTGCAATGAGGACCCGGCGCTGCGGCGCCCAAACCGGGCAATTTGCCAGGGTGTGCTGAGCCGAGTCCTCACTGCAATCGCAGTGGTGACAGGCGGGTCTCAATTCCCTCCTAGTGACCGAGTGCAGGTACTTCCCAAAGCAGCCGTGCCCGGAAAGGACCTGCGTCAGCCGGAAGGAAAGGGTCCCGTGCTGCCGCCCTGCCCACTCGACGATGACCGGCTGGAGCGCCTCCACGGCGTCAAAGCCAGCACGTGGAGCCTCCAGCCGGGACGACCATCGAGCCATCTTGGCTCGTTGGAGCGGCCTCACGCACCTCGGGCGGGTGCCAACTGCCACTAACCGCCCGGAACTCAGTCGTCCGCCGATATACTTCGTCTCGTTGTGACGCTAGTTCCACCCAACAGAGTTTGTCTCCGAACGAGCGCGGCAACCCCGGTATCTTCCCGAGGCTGCTGCGCGCGGCAAACCCGAGCCATTTGTCCGTGGTGCGCGTGGAGAGAGTGTGCGTGGCAATCGCCTTAGGGCAAAACGTGCGTTTTTTGAGTAAAAGATAGTGGCGTGCGCTTGCGTGCTGGTCGCTATAGCACTTATGCCAGGAGTTAGATAGCTTTTGCTGTCAACAAAGTAATAAACGAATTAACATTACTACATAGTGGCTTTGTACAAAAGTATTGTTGGCAAGATAACTAAAATACGATTTAAATTTTAGAAAGTATTAAGAGCGTTACATGTGACTTCATTTTTAAATTCTATCTTTAAGGTTTCATACTAAAGACAATAATAATAATATGTATTTCTCGATAATAAACTGAAAAAAATGGATGACTTGTTTTAGATCAACAGCCTTTAATAGTCCACTGCTGGACATAGGCCACTCTTTAGAAAAAAAAGTTTACGTCATAATAAATTATAAGTTTGCGATATTGTCGATTAAGCCAGATCTTTCGGACATCGGAACATCGGGTAACCAAAAAAAAATATTGTACCTTATAAATGTTATTACGATTAACCCAATCCATCCGAATCCTAACACATTAAATATGGACACAAGTCAAAAACAATTCTAGAAAGGATTATACAGCTGAGTACTAATTTAAAAAGGTTAATCAAAGGTTTAAAAAGGACAGAGGACATTGTTGATCAATTTTTAAGTGTAAAAAGTCGGAGTGCTAGTAAAGAGTATTAACAAACGCCAATTATGTGCAGTTAAAAATTGCTAAAGTTTAACGTTTGACAAAAAATAGAAGCATAAACGTGAAGTACGTTTATGCTTCTATTTGTTAGAGACATACTGACTTGAGTATCCTGACACATCTGTCTGTTTGGTTGTTTCGATTTAACTACTCAACCAACCATTATTTGGATAACATCGTCCGGGGCTAATAATATGGCGTTGTTACTCTAAACTCCGAGGTACTAAAAAGTGCATAGAGTTCGTTTAGGAAAGGGATAGAATCCGAAGGATGGAATAATAAGTTTGAGACAGTTGTCTACACTTACATATATAAGAAAAATTATTGAAAAAAACATGACTGTGTGAAAATGTAAACTCACAATTTAAAAACCGGCGGTTTTTACTTTTATAATTTTCATATACCAATTGTCACTCTCACAATTAAAACGAATCTAACGACACCTCAAATGTAAAAAACCATTTTAGACCGAGAGGCGGCTGCAAAATTTCCAGGGTATCTGTTATATTGATGAAAACCATCAGAAATGATGGTATTCAGGTTAGTAAAGAATAAGCGCCATCAG